GATCTAAAAAGCAAAATAAATACTTTAGTACCCAGGGTACCAAAAAAGTGTCCCAGAACTCCCTTTTTCACCCTACTACCTCTCAGCTTTACTATATATTATAGAAGCGACTTTTCAGATATGAATAGAAGAACGTTCAACTGCCAAAACAGTTGGCCACGAAGAGCTTTCAATTCTATTCAATTTTACACCTAGTGACAGTGTAACTTCAGATACACGATAACTCAACATGCTCAATGAGAAAACTCACTTTGTGTATATATATCTTAAACAAGTACTTCTTAAAATTGTAATTACGTCCCATAGTAATTGTTGTACCTATGTTCAGGAAAGTTAATGTGCTATTTTTTTCAAGTGCAGCAGTTGGTTGGTGAATATGTATTTGCTTGTGTGAACATTCCCTCTTCCAATTTTTTGCCTTTTTGCTATCAGGTTGAGAATCTTAAGACAAAAGACTTAAGAATATTAGTACTGTAATATTCCTAACTATATTCTCAATTTTCTTATTAATAACAGACAAGCTCGGAGGTCATCTGTGTCTGAAAATGTCAATAGGCTCGGAGACTTTTAAACATTAGGCAAGCTCGGAGGTCATCTGTGTCTCAACACTTTCTTTGTGGCTTGGCTCAGAGACTTGAATGATAGAGAGCTTGGAGATCTTTATCACGCCACTTATTCGTTAAAAATCATTCAAAAACTCAAACTTGCTTGCTTATATTTGTTAAGCAATTTCTGTGCATTCTCGCGCCTTTGATCTTTCTCCATTTTAACAATTAATTCGAGTGATAAAAGGTATTCAATCTTTTTTCTATAAGGTTCCAATTCACACTCTTCAAGGAAATCAATAATATTCTAGTTAGAACTTTTTCATAAGTGATAATAAATAGATCATTTGATTATTTTAAACAGACACGACTATGACTTAGATATTACCGCAAGATTCTATATCCCTGTTGTACTACCATTCAATGATTTCTATTCCGCAGATACAAAAAATGCGTGGCAGATCCTCAATTTTAATTGGCTAAAAAAAATTAAGCCGGAATTACTCATAATTTTACTAATGAAATCGCAGCCGCCTATTAAGTGAAAATTG